CCGCCCTCAGCCGCCGCCAGCCACTGGGGCGTGCCGTCGGTGCCCAGCAGCGCAGCAGCTGGTCCTGGGCCCAGTAGGCTGGGAAGAGCAGCATGCGGGCAACGGTGTGGAGGACGTGCAGCAAGGGGTGTGGGAAAGGCGAGGGCCGGAGGGCGTCCTGTACAGGGGGCCAGTCCGGCGGGGATTGCATGGCGCCCTGGACTCCGCAGAGAGGGACCGCTGAGGTACATTCGCTTCCAGCGCGAGTCGACCGGTCGGTAGGTCCGCGCCAGCCGCAGGGCAGTCCGGAGTAAGGCCACGTGGTACAACCTGTGTGCAACGGTGAGGCGCGGTGTTCCGGGAGCAGAGGCAGATACCGGGGAGGCCGCCCTCTCACTTGCGCAGAACTTCGGTGGCCGCAGGAGAGCACGAAAGGGAAAGCGAAAGGCACACTGCTCTCAGCTCCGCCCCAGCCCAGTCTGCCCCGCCCGGCCCACACCCAGCGTAGGTGGGAGAGGGGCAGCCCACACTGGTTGGGGAGAGCTGTGCGCGCTGTCCTCGGCTGCCCGCCCCCACATACTCGCTAGGAGTCGCACGGAACAGGTGGGGCGCTCCAGCTGCGCAGACTGCAGGTCTATCTCACCCGACAGGTCTCGGCTGCCCCGCGTGTCCAGTGCTTGAGTTCAAAGGCCCGACAGTCGGTGGCTAGGGATTCCAGGCGGCCTCACCAGGCTCCCGCCTAACCTCCGCAAATGCCCCCAAAAGCCCAGCCCGCAGTGGTGACAGCCCTGTGACCCTACCCGACGGATATTCCCATCTGGGGTAGGAACCGTTGGTTCCTGCGTGCGCAGCTGCGCAGCGGGGCACGCGGGCCCAGGGAAGCGGCTCCTTATTGCGCAGCCCCCTCGGTTCAGTGCCCCTAGAACCCCAACCCCCAGCAGCTCTGCCCCTTGGACATCACTTTCCTAGTCCTGGCAAACCAGCAATCAGGCTGGGCTAGCTGGGTGCAGCTAAACTGCCCACTGGGCTGGGAGGGAGGTGGCAGGCTTCTAGGCACTTCCTGGGGGCCTTTGGGTCAAGCCCTTCACTCCCCATCCCAGAGGCTCAGCGGGAGGCTCATGTCTGAGGAGGCCTGGTGTGGGGAGGGCAGGGGAACAGCAAGCCCACTGCCCCTTCTGTGCCAGTGCACTGGAGTCCAGCTGAACCCTGACCTGTCTGGCCTTCCTCTGGCTGGCGAGCCCTGGTGGCCAGCATCCTCCCCAGGTGAGCCCTTAGCTCCGTCGCCCCATCGCAGCCCTATGCCCTCCTCCCTCGCCTGGCCCTTCTTACAGACCCCGCAGTGACTGCTCACCCTGGCCTGCCTTCTGCACGTCACAGCCCCCAGCAGCCATCCCACCCCTGCCCTCTGTCCCGCTTCCCCGTGAAGCCTGCTCCTTGGCCCTGGCAATAAGTGGGGCCTGTCCCGGCCCTGCGAGGATGCCCCACCCCAGGTCTCTGGGACCTGTGGGCCAGCCCTGCCCCGGCCCTGCCTGGTCTTGTTCTTCCAGACCCCGGGGGCTCCTGCTCCCACTGCCGAGTGAGGGGAGCTGGGACCTTTCTCGGCCAGGCAGCTGCTCCGCTTCAGCCTTGGGGCTCTGGCCAGGACCCACGTGGGCATGAACTCCAAGGCAGGCCGGCCATAGGGCCTGGTGAAGGGCCTGGCGGCCAGCCCAGAGACACAGCACGCCACGTGTCCGGCGCCACCGAGCGGTAGCATCTGTGGGAAGCTTTACTGGCTTGCACAGGCTGCGGGCCGAGCTGGCCGGCCCAGGCAGGCCCTGTCACCAGATGAACATGGGCTTGCCGTCATCGTGGGCCAGCTGGCTGAGGCAGGACAGCAGCAGGAGCGCGTCACTGAGCATGCTGGGGTGCACGGTCTCCACCAGCACTCGCTGAAGGAAGTCCACCGTGTAGGAGCCGCCCTCCGAGGCGGCCAGCTCGGGCCGCTCGCGCAGGATGCCGTAGGCGTTCACCAGCTGCTCGGTCAGCGCGGGGTGCACACGGCCATTGTAGCCCAGGCTCTGCAGCCTGTTCATGACGCTCACGTAGCGCTGCGTGAGCGTCTGGCAGAGCTCTTCGTCCAGCTTGTGGTCGCCGGGGTTCAGTGAGGCCTGTGGGGAGCGCAGAGTCAGGGCCTTCCCACTCCCGCGGCACCTGGGCAGGCCGGGGGGGGGGGGGTCTTTGGCTGGGGGGCATAGACGCCATTTTAGGAGTTTACTC